CTTCTGTAATTTTCCTGCAGGGCATGGCTTCTCCTGTGATGAAAGGCATGTTAAAGCAATCAAAAACGTCTGGTAGGAAGCTGTCGATCTCAATCCATGGAGTTCCACCTGATGCCGTTAAAGTATTTGTTAGATATCTTTACTCATGCAGGTAATGCTTTTCTTGCACTGTTTCATGATTTGATCGTTTATGTAGATCAAAAAAGTTTGAGGGAATGTTGATTTGGTTGTGTTTTCTGATTTATGGACACATTTGATTTCAGATACGAGAAGGAAGATATGGAGGAATTTGTAATGCCTCTGCTGGTGCTGTCACATGTATATGTAGTTCCCCAGTTGAAGAGAGAGTGTGAGAGGCAACTGGGTCGTGGTTTGTTGACACTTGAAAATGTTGTAGATGTTTTCCAACTTGCATTACTGTGTGATGCTCCCCATCTCAGCCTACTTTGCCACCGTGTGATCCTAAAGAACTTCAAAACCGTTTCTTCCACCGAAGCTTGGCAATCAATGCGGCAAAGCCACCCTGTTCTTGAAAAGGAACTGCTTGAATCTTTAATTGAGGAAGACAATGTAAGTCCACACCTCTGTCTCTCTTGATATTATAAACCATGTCTAACTCCAAAAAGAGATCTTTCTCTAAACCAATCATTCAAATTTTACTTTCAGAAGCGAAAGAAAAGAGAGAAGAAAAGGAATGAAAAGCAGATCTATTTGGAGCTATTTGAGGCAATGGAGGCTCTTGTTCATATATGTAGAGATGGTTGTCGCACAATTGGCCCACACGACAAAGACTTCAAGGTGAACCAGCCGCCATGTAAATACGCAGCCTGCAAGGGGCTGGAGTTGCTTATCCGCCACTTTGCAGGCTGCAAACTAAGAGCCCCTGGTGGTTGTACCCAATGCAAAAGAATGTGGCAACTCTTGGAGTTGCACTCTCATCTTTGTGCAGATTCTAGTCTCTGTAGAGTCCCGTTGTGCAGGTAATTTTTATCCAAATCTGTCTCCTCTTTTTCCGTCTTCCTTGACTTTTAGCTGTTGTTAATCTTTGTAAAAGAAGTGTTGAATTCAAACAATGAGAATGTCCCGTGATTTCAGGAATTTCAAGGACAGGATTAGAAAACTGGGCAGGAAAAATGAAATGAAATGGAGATTGTTAGTAAAGAAGATTCTGAGGACGAAGGGAGTAGCAAGAACACCATTCTTTTTGACGACAGAAACCATATCTATATGAGGGGGAAAAAACCCTGTATTCTTCTTGAATAACCAAATTCATTCATTCTGTAAATTTTTCTTCTTCTTTTGACTGCCCAATTGTATTCCTTGTACATCACAGATCAAGAAATGAGATCAAAATTTACTTGGTACATATCTTGGTATCATCTGTTTGCCTCAAAAAGTTGAAGAATTAAATGACTAGCAAAGTGATCTCTTCCAACTAAAATAACAATGAAACAGACAACCTCGGTTTTCTTAAACAATGTCCAACTTGGATCTCTTGGGAGGTAGAAATTTTTTTGGATCTCGAGGAGATCATTATTGTGTCGTTAGAGGAGGGGGTGGTGGAGGTGAAGGTGGCGGCGGCGACGCCGGCCGTCGGTAGTCCTGTTTTATCAACGATTCCTGTAGATAAGGTAGTGGAGAAGTTCCTTGGGCTTGAACAATGGGCGAGCCGTAGCGAGTTTCCTTTTTGCTTCTAGGAAAAATGCCTCCGCCGTAGGAAACTGCCGCCGTCCACTCCGGCGTGTGAAACACTGTTTCTCGGCTCTCGTCGTCGGACAATGTCGTCTCAAATGATGGGTTTCCGATCTGCTGGTGGGGGAGAGGAGGCAGTGGATGCAACTCAGGGCTAAGAAGATGAGAATCCCATTTCTTCACAGAATCTACCCTGTGCTGCGCCGGAGATTCATCTAGTCCATTTACACCCTTCGGCTCGACGCTCGAGCACGACCTCTGTTCCATGGTTCCGAAATTCAAGAAACTCGATTGTGGAATCCCAGAATCGGGCCGAAAACTCAAGGAACGTTCCTTGTCGACGAGCATCCGAGACTTGCACCGGTACCTAATCCTCTGCCGATACAGAAAGAAGGCAAGCGCCGAGAGCATTCCCAGAGTCACAATCGCAACGGAGCATACAATGCCCATAGTTTTGATTGGTTTAAAAGACTGTTGAGTAGATGACGGTAGATTAGGCATAGAGACATTCGAAGGAGCAGGCGTAGGCTGGTCGGAATTTGCAGACCCCCCCGGTGGCGGTGGTGACACGAATGTTGCGGGATCCAATGGCTGGTGCAGACTTCTTCTTCGACTATCGCCATTGACGCGAGGATCAATGAAAAGAAGAAACAATTTCAGGCTGAGAAAGAAGATGAAGTTTGAAGCTTTCATGGCGAATAACTGCGGTTTCTCTTCGTTTCCTCTTCGCGATGATTCAGAAATCAGAACTGCAAAGTCAGATTACAAAAACCCTTTTGATTCTTATTATGGGTTTCGTGAGGCCCCCCAGTGTAAAAAAAAAATAACTATAAAGAATAATTTATAAATTTATTAATATAAATTTTAAAGTTTAGGTCTATTTTTCCTAAATAATCTCGAATTTACAAAATAATAATAATAATAATAATTTAATTATTTTTTAAAGTTTTGAATTTGTCAAAAACAGACGACATAGTAAAAGTTAAATTCCAATAAACATTCAATAGAGTGCCAAATTTTTTAAAACTTTTAAATATATTAATGATTAATTAGATATAAAATAAAAAAGTAAACTAATTTATTTAACATTTTAAAAAATTTTGAATTTACAAATTTCACATTTGAAACACACATAAGTATCTTAAAAAAGATAATAACTGCAATAATGATTGACGTATGAACTCATGGTAAAACAATAATTATACACAATTTATAAATAAATAAAAAAACATGTACATAATTAAAATAATGCATTTTGTGGGTTATTAATTATAGAAAATAACAAAAAATGGATTTGGTAATTTTGTGCAATCTCCTCCGAACTGATTGAAGAGCTTATGGAAGAACGTGCGGGTTTATTTTATTCACAGTTATAAATAAATATTTTATTAAATCGTTGAACATAAAAATAAAATAAATAAAGAATAGTTTAGATCGTAGATGGACCGTGAGATGAATATAAAAAGTTGGTACTAATTTCAAAGCTTCAGATTCTTTGATGCTTGATGTAAATGTAACCGATTGTGATTGTTAGCCCAGTTTTTGGCGGTTGGAGGCCCAACATTGGAAATGGGCCATGGATTCTACATTATCCAACATGGATTTTAGAGTGATTTTTCTCTGTTCTTTGCACGCACGTCATGCCCTCTGTTTCCCCTTTCTTCTACTTGCTTCATTGTTTGTGGCATACCCCATTTTGATGTTCCACCTCTCAATTGAAACAACTTGGGCGTGCGTGTGCCCTGCAACCGTCAGTTGTTCAGCAGGTTGATGAGGCCACAGTGGCCGACCTGTTACTCCCACCTCCTGTCGGAGGAACAACAATGTACCATGTTCACATCGTACAAAGCGTCTATCAGTGAATACCATGAGATTACAAGTCCCAAATTTGTTTCTGATGCTTCTAACTTCATGCTTGCAAGCCTGGTTGATGCCTATCTTGCTGAAGTTGCTCGTGATCCTAACGTACCCCTTTCCAAATTTATTCGTTTTGCTGAATCGATTTTGAGCTTCTCCCGACCCTTTCACGATTGAATCTATCGAGCAAGATATATTTTGTTGAGAATGGTTGGAAGCGAAGTTCCATGTCGACTAATTAAAAGTAAAAAACTATATACTCAAAGCAACATACAACGAACCAACTCAACTTGCTTATACTTTAATCATCAATCACCAACTTAATGCCTGTATTTCATTAAATAGTTAATTGCAATTTGCAAATAAATAATCAAAACCTTTTTGCTTGATTAAAGCATGTCATAAATTAATTTCATATGTATAAAAATTGCATATTTTATTATTAACTCTATTGAACTCTATTAAACTGAGTAAGACATTATATTGACTTTGTCTCTATGCAGCTTATCATTAATATATTCTCTACATTTACCCATTATTTATCCATTATCGTTAAGACTTTTGGGCATCATATTTTATTTTATAATGCATGCGTATGAAATACTTGTAGCGTAAAAATTTAAAAAAGTTTAATAAATTTTCTTTTGTAGAGTTTCGAGAGATTCAAAAGACATGTGATTATTGTTAGATTCCCACATATGGTAATTTAGGGAATGATTATGGATTTATAAACAAATAATACTATTTCCATTAGTTGGAGCTTTTTGAGAGAGCTCAAAGCAAAATCATGAGAGCTTATACTCAATTCGTCAAAGTAGACAATATCTTAGTGGTAGAGATAATTTATAGTTTTGTTTATAATATTAATACCATATCTTATATTTGGCAACCAAGTTTGAATTTGAGTAAAACTACAATATTAATGTTAGTCAAGTCAAATTAATATTATACAACACTACATTTTCCCTACTTTATGTTTATGTTTATGTTTTTTTTTTTTTGAAACGTTGAGTGTTGGGTTTTGATATTTGATGTATTAATAATTATATGAAAAATGGGGAAATGTGTTGAAGGGTGGGATATAAAAAACCTTATCCAAAATGTTGTATGGATTTGATGTTAGGAAATATCATTTTCAAGCATATAGTGGCGTTGGGAGAAAAGGTGGGTGTGCCTGAGCCCTTTACTCACTCCCAATATCCATCAATTTTGTTATCTTAACCAAATCTTACTTTATGAATCATATCCATTTTCATGCTTTCCTCGACATAATTCTACTTTTAATTAATCAATGAGAGAGAGGGGCCACATCAAGCTCAAGGCTGCGCTCTATCGGGCTATTGCTGGCTATGCATTTGGTATCAACTTCAAAAGGAAATGGGTCATAAAAGTGGCCTTCATTTACAACAAAATTTAACATTTAAAGGGAGATAGACGGCAAAAACAAAGTCAAACAAAAAAAAAATATATAAAAAGGTTAGGGATATATTATCTTTTACGATAAAAACCCATTTGTATGATCTTTTTCCTTTCCTTTCCTTTCATTTTCCCAGTCTTCTCCTTCTAATCCTTCTAGAACTCTCTGGGGTCGACGAAAATGGACAACCCAGGTGGTGATTTGGTCCAATCACCCACAGAGCCGTCGCTGAAATCCTCCGTCAAGCGTCTGATGCACCAAAGATCCTCCTCGCACGACAGCATTTTCCAGTGCGGAATCGCGGCTCTGACACGCTCTCTGGCTGACACTTCCGTCGCCACAACCCCACACCCTCTCTCCTTCGCCAGGTTATGAGCGTACCCACAAAGCGCTTTCACCATCCTCCCAGCCTCGGGCCCTTCTCCGCCCAGCCCGTACAGAAAGTGGAGCCCAAACGGCTTGAACAGCTCCGGCACCGACGGGAGTCTCAGCCAAGGAAACGCCCTGTCCAACACGCGTGTCGTCCTCGCAAGAGTCCGCTTCACCAGCGACACTCCACGTACTTGTAGCCTGAACACGTCATTGCAATTCCAGACGCTAAGAACCGCCCAGGAGTGGGGCGGGTTAAGTAAAAACCGGTCCGAGCCAGGCCACGTGTCGAAGGTATATACGCCACGTGGGATGGCGAGGAAGGTACCGAGAGTGAGGCGGTTGTTGAGAATAGAGTCAATGTCGCGAGGAAAAAACTCAGTGGTGGAGAAACGGGAGCGATAGAGAATCTCAGCGTCTGAGCGTGAAAGTGGGAGGATGGTGACGCGATGGGACAAGGGGAGTGGGTGGGCGAAAACGGGGTTGACAAGGATGGCCGGTGTACGGAACTTGGAGTAGCCGCATNTTTCGGTGAACAGATTAACTGACGCCACGTTGTCTTTTTCCGTTGCTATGTACGAATACTCCGCACCATTCTCTCTGAACCACTCCTCCATTTTCTTCACCAGTTTCAACCCAATTCCCATTCTCCTGAAAAACCGCAATCCGTTATCAATACATGTATCTATATATACATATATATATACACACACACACACACACCACCACCACCACCACCACCACCACGTACCGGTGACCGGGAGAGACGCGGAGGCCTAAGATGTAGGCGAGTTTAGTGTAAACAGGTACGTATTTTGTAGGGTGATCGGCGGGGGCGGTTTTGGGAGTGCGGGAGAGTTTTTTGCCACATGTAACGGTTTTGATGCAGCCTCTAATCATTCCAAGTATGTCGTCGTGGTCGCCCGTGGCCGCCACCTGTTGGAACGGCCATAATGATGATTGCATTAATTGAAGTTTGTTTGTTATAAGAGAGAGAAAAGAAGAAAAGGGGGGGAAATTGAAAGAAGAGAAAAATACCAGCATGAGGAAAGCAGGGGAGTTGCGGACCCTGCAAATTGGGTCACCCAAGAGATCAGTGAAAAGACACAGTTTGCCGCTTGGCCCGATTTCGCACCTTCTCTCCACGTCTTCCACTCCCACACAATCCTTACTCGCATCGAACTCTCTAATTACTATCTTTTTTACCATTTCTTCTTCTGATGGATTCAAACGCAGGCGAAGCAGAAAGAAGAAGAACACATGCAGGTGGATTAGGAGACGAAACAGAGGAGGGTTTATATAGCGGGAAGGCTCCTCCCCTCACTGTTTTTTGGCAGTGGCAGCCTTTTCAAGGCCCCCAACCTCATTCGTTATCCAAATAATAATATTAATACCAAACAAAACCGCAACAGAGGGGGTTTTATAACCCCAGTTTGAAATTTTTGTGAAATGAAAACCAAATTCATTTGCGTTTTACAAATATATATTTAAAGAAACAGGGTTTGACGTTCTCAGTTTGTACACAAATATGATTTTTTTTTTTTTTATAGATATAAAATATAAAATATAAAATAATAATAATAAAATAAAAGAAGAGGAAGAGGAAGACGAAGACGAAAATGTTTATGATTGCTAGAGGACGAGAGGAGTGTTTGTTTAAATACCTGAAGATCACCCCTTTCTATTTAATAATTATTTAATAATTATTTAATTCTCCTGTTCTATTTATTATTAAATAAATTACCGAAGCAGTTAAAACGAATTAGGTAAGTAAATTTGGAATGCAATGGATATGGTGTTGGTTCGTGTGATGAGCATGACGACGCTACAAAATTTCTGAACCAAATATCGCAATCATCGTGACCCTTCTCCCCATCATCATCAACGGCTCCGATTTTGCCACCAAAAAAGATGCCTACATTTCATTTTAAGGACACCTACCATACATTTCCCTTTCAAAAACTGCCACCGCAGCAGCCCTACACATTATGTGAGCTGCCCTTTGCCTCTGCTCTGCACACAATTTATTTATTTTTGAAAATGCTGTAGGAGAGGAGCATGGTGGGGTGATGAATTGGCAGGGCATGTAACACCTCTGCCCTGCCATTTCCTTAATTACCTCCAAACAACGAAATGGGATTAATTAATTCAGTAAACTCCATTTTGAACCGGTTTGGTGGGCCATGCAGAGTGAATGACCCCCAACTCCTCCAAAATTTCCCTCCATTTTAATAATAATACTATTGTAACAAATTCATTGAAATTTAATGTTCATAATTTCTATAAAACTTTGGTTAAAATGATATGATAGTGGATGTGTGTTGACCAGTTATGGCGGTACATGCTTTCAAAACATGAACCCATTTTGGTTCTATTGTGAAACAACAAGTAAATTACCAAGAAGCTCACTATGAGAATTTAAAAAATAAATAATTATTATATTTAGGTTGGAACCTTCTTCGTGGGTACCTCGAAATTTCCAGCTACACCCTCGTACGTGTAATTAATTATAGCCCATTAAGCTCCCACTCAAATGATTTACACCAAAATTCATCGCATAATCTAATTAAACAATAATAATAATAATAATAATAATAATAACCCAGAAAGCAATGGGAACGAATACAAAGAATGTAGGTATGTATGTATAATATAAGGAAATATTAGAGGATGTAACAAAAAAGGAAGTAGGGCCTACAAACAGATATTCATTGATGTTGAATGTACCATATTATATATAGAAATATGGTACCTTCTAAGTACACTTCTAAATTACATTCTCTTTTCTATTTTGTTTCTTTCACAAATATATCATTTTCCAGGTTTGATATTTTAGAAAAATAATCTAAGTGAATACACGATCCATATATTTGATCGTAAAATTTAATAATATATATTATCATAAACTAAGTTATACGTAGGGTTTAGGGTTTAGGTAGAAAATAAAATGTATGGAGCTGTTCTTCTTCTCCAACTGTTACATTATGTCTCATTGTCTGCCATTAATTTATCATGATCTCATTTTTTTAAAATATAATAATTAAATTTGAGGTCAAATTTATAGATCCAACGACCCAGCCAAGTCAAGCAACAATATACACTGTATCCAAAACTATATTTTAATTTAGTTTAATCTATTCCTAACGATAATCAGAGTGACAAACACAATATTCAATACGATGATAATTAGATTGTGTTAATTATGATTAATGAAATTAAGAATCTAATGAGGGATCATAATATATGTTTTTAAATTTTTTAAAAAGGGATATGAGAATAATAATAATAATAATAATAATAATATATGGTTGGAATTAGAGAGTGGGGCCATAGAGGGGATTATTGATAAATATAGAAACAGTAGGTCCCAAAAAAATAAATAAAAAAGGATTGAAAAATTCTCCCAACCATATGATTTATAAAGTAATAATGAAGAAGAAGATGGATGTTGGACAGTTTTGATGTTAACTTAAGATGTTGCATCCAAACATAAACAATGCGAAACAGTTAAGGGACAAAAGGAAAACACAATTTCCTCGGCAAAAATCTATGCTACGGATCTTGTTTCCCTTCCCCCCCTTCTTAAACCTACCCCACCACTCCCTTTTCATCCTCCTCCGTCGTTCATCTCATTAGTTCTTGATGGCTCCGACATTCTTCTATGACATGCTCATACTATTTAATCTTTCCTTCTAAGAGTGATGAATAAGTTCACATGCTAACACGAGTTCTTTCCGTATACTTTGTCTTCACTTACATGCATCCTACTTAGAATTGCATGCTTGACTATGGAGTTTCTATGATTGAGATACCGAAAAGAAAATGCATATTATTAGTATAGGTAGTGACTTTTAATTCTTGATTTCGTTTAAATATGGTCTCGTTTCATTTGTGTACTCCTCCTTTACTCGGGTGTCACAATATGATTGAAAATGAATGACGAGACACTGACCACAACATTCAAAAATAATGTTCTATTTTTTCTTTCTAAACTAAGTGAACGTGAGTTTGATATTAGATTATGCGTAACAGCCCAAGTCCACCACTAGCAAATATTGTCCGTTTTAGCTCGTTTCGTATCATCATCAGTTTTACAATTTTAAAATGTGTCTGTATACGAAATGTTTCGCTCACTTCTCTAATCGATGTGGAACTTCAACTTATGACATTGTTCAAACGGCAAATGGGTTGCAACACTAATTTCAAAAGTATTGTGGGGGATGTAGGGCCGCATCCAAACATCAAAATCTTAATAATATTAAGCGATGTTTGGTTGTTGGATTTGACGAGGAGTAAAGGTTTAGGGTTATTTTTAAACAATAATGAGGCAATAATGTCTACAACAACGTGGATGAGTTGAATTAAAATATACTAAAGCAAGGGAACATGTTGACTGTAATGTTGGAAAATGTCAATTGATTTGATTAGTCAAATGTAATCAAAACATAAGCAATGCTTGTGGTGTGGCTCGAGGAATATATATATATAAAAACATGACAATTATATGATATGGGATTAATTACTCAATTAGTTTGATTATTTAAGAACATGGAGAGCTTAAATTTAGATATTAGAAGGGAGGGGGGGGACATAGCATTGTGATTGGGGAATGTGTAAAAATGGTAAAAAAAGATGAGCGATAGAGCATATGACGCATATGGTGCGGTGGTTAAGGAGGTGTCATTTCTGAGGTTTGTTGTTAAGAAATGAATTTATTGGTATTAAGAAATGAAATGTATGGTAAGAGGCCGACACTTTGATGCGCCCATCCCTCACCCAAATCCCAAATATTCAGCTTTTTGTCTCCCTTTCTCTTTCAACTTTCATACCCATATCTTCTTCTTCTTCTTCTTCTTCTTCTTCTTCTGCTTCTGATATGACCTTTCATGGCTCAGCCTTTCATGACAGGTGAACTGCATGCCAATTTTCAAAACCCTTCTCTCTCTCTCTTCATTAATTTCCTTCTTCCTTATCTTATCCTCTGCATGCCACCACTTTACTACAAACCTTCCAATTTCCGAGTCAAAACAAACCCACCGTCGTTTACTCACTTTCAACTGTCACTCACCCATCACTCTCGACCTCGAAAAGTCATTACAAGACACTATGTAAAAGTCACTAGAGGTTAAACAATTTATTCAGGTTCATATGAATATTGGGTTAGTGATGATATTGTTTTCTTTGTATGAAAGGGTGAGAGACAAATTGTAAAGATGTGTGAACGTTTTTGTGGTTTTAACCAATTGAGGTATGTAAAAATGAAGGAATATGGAAGGTTAGAATGGTAATTTGGGAAAGGGGATTGATATGAATGGAGCCAAATAGATATTATCATGGAATGAGCGGTTGAATGAACATAGGGAAGGTAATTAAAAGAGTGACGACAAAAACAACAGAAATGGGGAAAAATAAATAAATAAATAAATAAATAAAAGAGAAGAGGGTCCATATGGGACTCTCCCATCACTTTTGCATAATTACAAAAAACTCACTCACTAGCCGCCATTTTATCCACCATCTTCTTCTTCACCTTATCCTCCTCTCTCTCTCTCTCTCTCTATCTCTCACATTCATCACTTCAAACCCTCGAGAGAGCTTAATTATTTTGTTTATTGGATGGATGGCTTAGAAATGGAGAAGATTATAACAAACTTAATACCAAAGTTTTGCAAAAAAAAATACATCCTATTAATACAATAATTTTTTAAAAAAGTCGAAAGAAAAGAGATGAAAGCTCATGTTCAAAGTGTACAATATGAATAAGTGTACCAGAGAGAAGAAGAAAGAATGATGGAAGAAGATGAAAATGACAATTCGATGAACCACACTGAGTAAGCGTCTCAAGCTTGGAGTGTCATGTTCAGTAAACAAAAAGCAAGGTGTGTTGGGATTACAATGATTTTGTCGTAGGAAACCTCCAAACCCAGAAAAGAATATATAAATATATATATATATACATATATATATATAGATGGTCCCGAATGAAAGGAAAAAGGGAGGTGTAAAATATCGGATTAAATGGCATATGTTTCAAAAGCAAGCTGAGTTTGGGATTCCCATGTCTTAGCTTTGTCTGCAAAATTATATTGTACTCGCAAACACCACGTGTAGTTACCACACTCTGATAACAGAAAGAAGATATATATTTAGTTGGGGACGGGGCCTTCCAACCCCTCCAACCCTTCCAAGAGAAGGATGTGAGGACTCAAGTACGCGCAGTGGTCTGGGCGTGGTGGGCCTCACGAAAATGATTTCTCAAACCACATAAGGGCAGCGTTGGGGAGGGGAGGACTTCAAACCAAAATGGGTTTCCTCAAAACCCTTTACTTCTTCCACAAACACACACACATACTCCATGTCACCCACGCCAACAATTAACCATCAACCACCACCTCGAATATATAGCCTCAATTT